TCATCACAAGTAGCTAATAGGATACCTTACAAATAATTTGGACAGTAATAAAATATAGTGTAATATAAAACTATATAAAAACAATATAATGAAGTATAACATACTGTATAATATAATGCAATGCTTATAATTCAATACAATTTAATTAGTTGTGTATAATACAATAAATATCTATATTGTATGTAGAATATCATATAAGTGGGTTTGTGCACATATAGATCTTTCAGTGAGAACACTGGGTAGCTGTCCATCCTATCTCTGGCCACTGTATCACCAAGACTGCCATTTTTAACCTAAAGAATATGTTACCCCAACATTTCATCATATTACTTTTAATGTATGTGCCTGTTGTACTAGGTACTGGTATTAAAAAGTATCATGTCCTCTTTGTATTGCTTTCGTTGTGTAAAATCCCTGGTTATCCTGCCAGTCCCCCTGCTTTCCTATTTCAAAGTGACCACACTAGGCGTGACAGCACACATATCCCAGCATGGTCAGTTTTCTGGCTGTGCTGGGAAAACAGTGTAACTAAACCTAGTCGCTAAGACTTCTGTGATGATAAAGAAAACCTGTGCTGGGAGCAGGGGCGGACTGACAACTCATGGGGCCCCTGTGTCCTTGCCCAAACTCAAAAAAGCCTACGAAAAAGGTACCATGGGGCCCCCTACTGACCTCGGGCAGTGCCCGAGTTTCCAAATGGTCAGTCCGCCCCTGGCTGGGAGAAATATAGGGGATTTTAAAAATATTATTTACCTGGCTGTCATTGGCTTTGAGTCACTGCCCTGATATAAGCAAATGAAGCCAGAATTTCTGAGCTGCATACTTGATCCAGATCAGTAATCACTGGGTTAGTGTGACATCTAGGCAACTGGTATTTTCAGTAAGCCTTCGTAATTTCCTTTGATTTTCTTACTCCTACACTTCTAAAGCAATATCTGTCTGCTTGATTGCTCTTTTTATTGAGCCATTTATGGTCCCCTTTACTGTCTTCAACATCATTGGAATTTAAAGCTCCACCCAAAAGGGGAAGTTCCACTTTAGGCTTTGTGACCCGCTCCCCATTAAGGATTGGCACTTTTGGGGAGCGGGTACCCAAATTTGACAGGCTCCCACTTCACCTGCGATCGACTAGGCGGTCAGAAGCGGAAGTTGTCCTCTCCCCCCTTCTCCCCATAGTCTTCTGGGACATGTGACAGGTCCCAGAAGACTACGGGGCCATTCACAAAGTGCAGCGCTTCTCACACCCTCAAGCTGTCACAACCGGGTGCCCACACTGAAGATGCCGGCACCAGGGAGAGAAGACAGCCGGTGAAACCAGCAGTGGTGAGGACACCGCTGGATCAAGGATAGGTAAGTGTCTGTATTTTAAAAGTCATCAGCTAAAGTTTTTGTAGTTGCTGACTTTTCTTTTTTCAGCTGGAACTCCGCTTTAAAGCACTACATTAATGACAGGATTCATAAATATATACCAATAAATCCAGGACTTTTTTTCAGCTGGAACTTGATGGAACTAATTTCTGCCAACCCCAGCTCAGATCCTCTACTCCCAGCTCACTACTATCACTTGTAAACACAGAAGCCCTGATAGATTGACTTCAAATGGCTCCCACAGATCTGATCTCCTGAGTGGCGCCCACGGAGTCCAGAACGGGGACAAGTGAGATGCAGATGCCTGGGGTGCAGTGTGGTCATGGACGGGATTGGGGCATTGTTTGGTAGATTGCACCTTCTGTGATCTCCATTTTTTCCCTGTTGCCCGAATGCCAGTGCTCCCACTGGAGGATCTTCCAGCAAGAGAGGTACTAGAGTTGGCTGGGTGTTCCAGCTTATAACAGCAACAAAAGAAGAACACATAAAATATGTTGGAGTTTTTAAGGAGGGGGGGAGAAGATGAGGGTAGTGGAGGTGGTGGGGGTTGTGTGGAGAGGTCAGAGCTAAGGAGGGGTGAAAGGAGATGGTGATGGGAGATGCAGTGGCTAGTAGCTGTGGAAGAGGCTAAAATCCACTCTGTGTAGTGCACTCCTGAGCTCTGCACTCTCTATGTATTGCACCCTTGAATGCTACACTCAATGTGTAGTGTACCCATGGACTCTGTAGTGTGTGTATGTAAAGCACCCCTGAACTCTGCGTGTAGCGCACCCCTGAACCCTGCACTCTTGGTATTTGAAGCAGACTTTCGGGCAAAAAAATTTATTTCCCCATGCATTGGGGCTCTACCCATACTGCATGGGTCAACAGCTCGCTTTTTCTGGAGTTAAGCACAAAGCTCATACTCACCTGACCCACCAGTTCTCCGGAAAACTGTGCTCCCCCACGGTCCAGTGGTGGACTGTTCCGGTCTATGGAGCATGCATTGAGCTTGCAGACATCAGGAACATTTACAAAACCGCTGGAGTGTGGAGTGAGGTGGGATGGGGGCAGGAGCCGAAGGGACCGGTCTTGTGTAAGGAGGATCGTCGGTTAGGGTTAGTATATCTCCACCGTCCTGTCATCTAGAACAAAACGAGCAGTTAACCCATGCAGTTCGAGCACAGCCCCATTGCAGGTGCAAAAATATTTTAGTTCTTGGTGGGTGTGTGTATGTGTGTGGGAAGGGGGGGCATGGTTGAGTTTCTGAGCCTATTCTTTGAGAAAAAAAACCCTGAATAGATCAATAATTATAACAATGTCAACAATGTAACAGTTTTAACAGCAGAACTTACATGACTCCCAGACCAAGCACATACAAGAAAATGTAATTAATAAGTGCATTGAAGATGTTTGCTACTAATCCAGTTAGCACTTGAGGAAAGATTATTCCCTGTAAGTAAAAAGATATATATTCGTTTATGAGCAAGAAAAAGATAAAAAGTGTATATACATGTTTTAATTGATAACTTAGAAGCACTTGTTATTCAGTGACAGGTGCTCTTTAATCCTTTTGCTGCCAGGCCCTTCACTCCACTTTTAACCTCAGGTGGCCAGACCATTTGACCATATTTTTTTTCTTCTTTTATATAACTTTTCACTTACAGCTTTCAGAGTTTGTAAAAGTCCCCTCTTACTGACAGTACAGGGCCAATATAATATTTTCTGAAAGTACAGGACCAACATAATAAAAACACAATACTCCTGATTTTGTACATCCTGTGATAGCTGCACAAATGTTTATTAGAAATTATATTTTCCATGAAAATACACTAACATTATTATTAGCACATGCAAACACAACATAACTTACAAAATTTCTACTCATTCTGTATTGAGATAGAAAAAAAAGAACAAATATTTCTAAATAATATCAGTAGGTGTACGAGCACTAGGTAGTGCAGAGAATAGCAGCTGACATAAAGGCAAAACCTCTTGACCTTCATAAATCTCATAAACGTATGCAGTGCTAAAAGATTGACACATGTAACATAAACACATGGCGCTTAAAATGGTTCAAGTGCAGTGAACGTCTAAGGGCGTTAACTGTGCAAGTGGTGAACTTAGTAATGCAATAATAGATATAAGCACATGAGTCCCAAAGTTGATAAGGGGTGAAGAAACCATGACTCCAGTGATAAATAAATAAGTGTATATTGCACTAACCAGATTGCACATAATATTTCGCTTTTGAGTACTTAAACCACTCCTGGTCCTCTGGGTATGGAAAGATGAGTATCCAAGGAACACCTGGCCAACCGACCGAAAGACAGGTTATCTTATGGACATCAGTCTTTTGGTCGGTTGGCCAGGTGTTCCTTGGATACTCATCTTTCCATACCCAGAGGACCAGGAGTGGTTTAAGTACTCAAATGCGCATAATATTTCGCTATCTGGTTAGTGAAATATACACTTATTTATTTATCACTGGAGTCACGGTTTCTTCACCCCTTATCAAGTTTGGGACTCGTACTTATATCTATTATTGCATTACTAAGTTCACCACTTGCACAGTTAACGCCCTTAGACGTTCACTGCACTTGAACCATTTTAAGAGCCATATAGCGCAACTATATGTGTTTATGTTACATTTTGTCAATCTTTAAGCGCTGCATACGTTTATGAAATATTTGTAAATGTTAAATTGTGTCTTTTTCTGAAATGGTGGAAGTCGAAGATATGCAAAACTATAAATAAGCAACTTAATCTACAAATATGGAGGTTGACTTCACACCTCTGCACCCAGTTAACAGTGCTGTGTGAGCGTTGGTGTGTGGTGCTTGTCAGGCACTGATCACAGTATACTGTTAGGGAAGCGTAGGGAAGATTTCTGTTAGGCTTAAAGCAGAACTAAACTTAACCAACAAAAAAATTACAGTGGATGGGGTAATTGGTTTAGTTTTTTTTCGCCCCAGTGAGTGAACGAAAAAAACGGAACCATGTATGGCCAGCTTAATTTACCCACCTATTGCATCTTTATAAAGAAAGCTCATTTTAAGGTACCTAAATACTTATCCTAAAGTAATTATTGCTAAGATATTTTGACACGTATGCTATACCAAATTTAACATAGAACTCCAGGTCAATTGTTTTGCATTTTTTTGCATAGCTGACCTCCAGTAAATGTGAAGATTCTTCCATGCACTGCGCGTTTAGGTCTAGGTCTCATGGAAAAATAGATTTACCTTCCCAATCTTCAGCTCTTGCAGTCTATACTGCTAGAATGGTTCCCACAGCCTCTTCTCCCCCGTGACCTGGTGGTCTATGGTCCCTGCCTTATATCCCTGTAGTGGATAGGAGGATGCTGAGGGACAAATCACCGCTGGAGCATGGTGAGTGAAAGTGCTTTTCCAAGTGCTTTTCCATCCCCTAGCCAAATATAATCTACTATTGAAAGATTTACTATAAAAACTGAAATGTTATTAGCGTAGCTGACTCATAAAATTCTGGCTTTTGCCCATTTAATAACCTGTAGATGCCAAGGTAGCACAGCTTGACAATAGGCTTTGGATGTAATATTGATTTAAAAAAAAAACAAATACAACTATTCTGCATTTCTGTGGGTTAATGGTGTCCGTTGGATTTGGTACCTGGTTCTGCAAATATTTGGCTTGTAGTTGATACATAAATGAAGCCTAAAACAAAAAGAAAAAAAAAAAAGTTAATGGATATGAGAAGTCAGATTGATTACAAGGTAACCATTTCCGAAGCCACAACCTCTTATTGCTTTTGGTTAGACCCCTGTCAGGTTTGTTTAAAAATCTGTGCGCCCTTGAGAACATTTTCTTTTCTTTCCTTTCTGTTACAAAGATAGAATGGTATGTGAAAGCTAACCTCTGCAAAGTGGGGGGAAATCTCTGATCCTCTCCCCCTCAGACATGCTCCCTCCCCGCTCTACAGTCGTGTTTTATTGCCTTTAATCTGCCCTCCTCGCCTGAATCTGGTCAGGCTGCCTCTTTCCCTAATCTGGTCTCACTGCTATTTCCCTACCAAAACTGATCACACATACAGTAGGTGTGAAAATGAATAGTAGATGAGGTGGAACACACAGGTGAGCAGTGGCAGAAGGGAGCAGGGTGTGCAGAGGTGAGTTGTGGAATAGAGGTGTGCAAAGGTAAGTGGTGAAATGGAGGAGTGCAGAGATGAATGATAGAATAGGACGATGGGGAGGACAGAGGTGAGCAGTGGAATGGGGGATTGCAGAGATGAGTGGTAGAATAGGAACACGGGGAGGACAGAGGTGAGCGGTGGAATGGGGGAGGGCAGAGATGAGTGGTAGAATAGGAAGATGGGGAGGATAGAGGTGAGCGGTGGAATGGAGGAGTACAGAGGTGAATGATACAATAGGAAGATGGGGAGGATAGAGGTGAGCGGTGGAATGGGGGAGTGCAGAGGTGAATGATAGAATAGGAAGATAGGGAGGACAGAGGTGTGCAGTAGAATGGGGGAGTGCAGAGATGAATGATACAATAGGAAGATCGGGAGGACAGAGGTAAGCGGTGAAATGGGGAGAGTGCAGAGATAAGTGGTAAAATAGGAAGATGGGGGAGGACAGAGGTGAGCAGTGGAATGGGGGAGTGCAGAGGTGAATGATAGAATAGAAAGATAGGGAGGACAGAGGTGAGCAGTAGAATGGGGGAGTGCAGAGATGAATGATACAATAGGAAGATCGGGAGGACAGAGGTAAGCGGTGAAATGGGGGGAGTGCAGAGATGAGTGGTAAAATAGGAAGATCGGGAGGACAGAGGTAAGCGGTGAAATGGGGGGAGTGCAGAGATGAGTGGTAAAATAGGAAGATGGGGAGGACAGAGGTGAGCGGTGGAATGGGGCAGTGCAGAGGTGAATGATAGAATAGGAAGATAGGGAGGACAGAGGTGAGCGGTGGAATGGGTGAGTGCAGAGATGAATGGTAGAATAGGAATTTGGGGAGGACAGAGCTGAGCGGTGAAATGGCAGAGATGAGTAGTAGAATAGGAAGATAGGGAGGACAGAGGTGAGCGGTGGAATGGGGGAGTGCATAGATGAGTGGTAGAATAGGAAGATAGGGAGGACAGAGGTGAGAGGTGGAATGGGGGAGTGCAGAGATGAGTGGTAGAATAGGAAGATGGGGAGGACAGAGGTGAGCATTGGAATGGGGGAGTGCAGAGATGAGTTATAGAATAGGAAGTTGGGAGGACAGGGCTAAGTGGTGTGTAAGCAGTTGCTGACCGGGTGCTTGTATTTTAGGCCTGTCTGCACAGCATTGTTACTTATGCAGAAAGTGTTAGTTAGCTGCTGCCCAGCTGGGAGGGAAGGGAGTTTTCTTCTGGGCTCTGGCCCCCTTCCCTGTGCATATAAAATCAGGAGGGAGCTTTGCCCAGGGGAGACCAGCCATGTGGGAAGAAGGACAGGCTGACAGCTGTGATGTGACCTGATCCTCCAGCACACCACCAGCCCGGAGGGGCTCTGCTCATCCTTGCTTCAGCTATCTTCTCTTCTATCTGTCCTCACTGGAGATAGCCTGCATGAGGAGCCTGCCAACATACTTGGGGCTGCTGAACCTTGTGGTCCCATAACAAACAGCCTGCTGCATGGGAAGAAAAGACACAGACAGCCAGCAAGATGTGGGAGAGTGCTTCTGTTCCTGATTCCAGAAAAGTTGCTACAAACCTGTGTCCTGGAGCCTTCCACATGTTGGGGCTTGTGGGAATTTGCAGTCCTCCTGGAAGATGTCAGCTATGGACTCTTTCCTAAGCATGTATGCTGGGGTTGCACACAAGCCTGTAGTTAGGGATGTTAGGAAAAGAGTGCAATTTCTGTTGCACTATTATCTTGTGATTCTCATCTTGCCGCATTATTCAATTAAAATATTTAAAGCTTTCAGGCCTGGTCTGAAGTTACTAAAAGGGATGCATGGTGGTAATGGCGTATAAAAGAACAGGCCTGTGTGCTAGCCCTGGATCTGTGACTCTTCTAGTTTTTCTTTCCTCCATGTTTTCTTTCTGATTCTTTATTTTTCTCGTCTTCTTTCTTCTTTTTTCCTCTTCTTTTTCCGGTAATATGATGGATTGCTGCTGCTATTATTTGGTTCAGCTTTTTGCCATCCCTCCTTGATGTCATTGGACATTCTGTTATTTGACTAATACAAGTCAGCAGGATGTATCTAATTATGTGTTATTGTTCTGCTCTGCCCCTGCATGGGCATATCCTGAGCTTGTTATATTCTTAAAACAAAACTTTCTTAATAAATATTGAAACAGAAAAAAAAAAAAGAACAGGCCTGTGATGCACATTAGGAGTAAATTGGTGACAAGTCGTTGCTAGGGGCAACAAGCACAAGGAAAGGATGTTATGACAGCTAGACAGCGGGAGAGTGGTACTGGCAGGGGTGATGGCTTTTAGTGAGGGTAGCGGTTCAGAGCCTACCTTCTGAGTGGTCAGTGTCTTAGCAACCAGGACTGGACCCATGTGATGGAGACCCTAGGGACTTAGCTGCATGGTACGGAAGACTTAAATATGCACGTACATGGAGTCTGCACTGGTTCCTGGTGGGACCTGCTCTGTCACTGGGAGATGGGTGGCAGAGTCTAGCTGGACTGGTGAAATGGACACTGCAATGTGGTGTCTCCTTCAAAATGTTGCATCCTGAGCAGGTGTATCTATCACTCGAATGGGAGGCACCTATATACAGCTTCAGGCTATCATACAGAGGTACACCGGGGTGTACAGCTCGCTTCTAAATTGGGGTGCCGCCATAATGTTGATGTCACATGAACACGACCATGCCTGGTCTTCAGCATTAGTGAACGTACACCAGAGAGTCTAGAGAAAGGAGAAAAGCGAGAGAGAGCACAAAGGCCCCTATGTGTACCAGGTGAGTCGGCCCAGCCCAGAGTTGGAGTGCAGAGGTGAGTGGTGGGATGGGGGAAATAAAGAGTTGAACAGTGGAATGGGGGACTGCAGAGGTGAGTGATGGAATAGAGGGGTGGAGAAGTGAGTGATAGAATGGGGGGGGGGGGGTCAGAGGTGAGTGGTGGGATGGGGGGGGTACAACGCTGAGTGGTGGAATGGAGGGGTGCAGAGGTGAGTGATGGAACGGTGCTACAGAGGTGTGTAGTGGAAAGTTTGTGTGGGGAGGGGAGGGGGAAGCCATGGGATGGGTGCCTGGAGAAATGAGTGATAGAATATGGGGTAGAGAGGTGACTGGGGGGGGGGGGGGAAGGTACAGTGCTGAGTTGATAGTATGGAGGGTACAGGATGTGTACAGTATGGGGAAAGAAAACAAAGGTAGCGGAGGTAACGCCAAATTAAGTATCTTTTGTGAGAGTTTGGTTAAATCTAGGTGCAAAAATTTTTTTCTGGCAGACTTCCACAATATAATGTTCATGGGACAATTGGAAACAGACATGGTTAGACTTACCGGAAGGGCTGGAATGAATATTAAAACATAGACCTGTGTCAGTCTATAGGAAAAAGAAAAAAAATATATATATATAGTTTAGTATGAAGCCGGTTATTCTCAAGTAGACTTTTGAACAAATATTTGTACATTAGATGACTTAACAAATGTGGTTTGAAAGTACTTAAAAATTCTGCTATTATCATTCAATTTTGGAATGAATAGACTTTTCTGAACAAAAACCACACTGGCTGTTAGAAATTAGTCAGAGAAAAATTTCCATACTGCTCCTTCAAATTTTCTCTTCACTGCAGCCAAAAATCGATTGTCGATTTGACTCCAATAATGATTAGAAAATCAAACAAACATTCTTAAAATGAGAAATTTCTAATTAAATTCTTCTAGTGTATGGCCAGCTTAGTCTTGTAGATAACTGAGGGTCCATTCAGACCAGCTGTTGCATTACAACGACTGGATAGCTGCAGTGCCAATGCGTTGATCGTGGCAAATCTCACTGTCCACTTTTTTTCTTTAACAAACATTATTGAAATGTCACGCAGGGACATTTCATTAAGTTCTATTGGCTGCCACGTGGTGCGAGGCAGTGGATGGCCTGCATATTGTCAGGATCCTTCCAGAGCCTGGAGCAACAGCCCATTGGCAGCTGATTCTTGTCACAGGAGAACAATAGTAAGTGCACTCCTGTGACCCACAAGGGCAGTGTGACAAAAAAGCTTTGGACATACTTCTTTATTAAATAACTATGTAGCAACCCATGAGACTAAACACACAGGCATCTATGTAGGCTTCATTCACACGCCCATAAACATTTTCCTGATGTTACTGCACATGTGTTTTCTAAGAGAAAAGTTCCTGCATAATGATCCATAAAATACTTGCGTATAGATGCGTATAAATGTGCAAAGATGTGTAAGTGTTATAAAAATGTATTTTACCCTTTGTTTAGACTTCATTTACGCACGTACAAAAGCATATATATGTGTGTAAGCGTGTAAATCACATGATCTTAGACTCAGATTTTTGGATCCTGTGTTATGGATCTGAAAGCATCTCATGTTTATGCACCTGTGTGAATGGCTCCATTAAAAACAATGCAGCTGTGTTCAGATCATAATTAAAAAAAACACTTGTTTATACGTTTTTTACGGCCATGTGAATGAAACCTTATAAAAAACTAATTTGCGAATGTCTCAGCATTCACACAGCCACTGTGAATAATCCTAGTAAAAATTGTATTATGTGCAAAATGTAATTTTCGATTTACAGTATTTCCTATGCATGTCAGCCCCACCTAGATGTTATAATGGGATATTAATCAGAAAAATACTGCATTATAGTCACTAGAGGGAGCTGACAATCATAGGAAATAGTAAAAGATATTTCACACATTAGACCAATTATGGGGACTATTTGTGATGGCTGTATGAATGCTGAGACAGTCACAAAGTGGGCTTTTTATAAATAGAGTCCATGGTGTTATGTTAGGGACTTTCTGGACTTTGTGACCACACGGGTCTGGAAGAAGAGGTTGTAGGTATGATAGGAGCTATACTATGCTGGGAAAGAAATGTGGAAAAGCCTAGGCATTGGTTAGACACTTAAAAGCTAGTGGGGAAATATACTTCCCAGTATGCATCCCTGGCTACCCAGTGTCTAAATGATGGCGTCCCATGAAGACCATGCAGTTGTAGGTAAGGTCCTTTGGGTCCAGATGCAAGATGTGAATTAGGGCCCCAGGATAATGGGGCCCATATACAACTGCACAACACCACAGTTGCCATCTTTCCTTTCTTTGAAGGGAGAGGCAGTCCCTCTTTGGCCCCAAATTTTCCATTTTCTTTTAAATGAAACATTTGAGAATAAAAACCATTAGGTCTGCCGTTGCTAAGTGGTGGTTAAAGGTGTAGATTCATCACCCTTTAATAAAGAGCTCACTTGGACACGTCGGGGTCTTGCCGGAAGAGGAGCAAGATGGGTTCTGTATTCAAGAATAGGGCCCAGCATGGGAAACAGAAGAGAAGTAGGATAAGAATACCTCTTTGCAGGATGGTCCCTACCAATTTTAGGTTGCGCCCTCCATAGATCTGAAATATAAGTAATTGATTGGTAAGGATAGCCCTCACTGGGTGGAGATGGTACACTTTGGGAAACATGGCTAGCTGAATTCAGACAACATAACAAAACATTGGCATAACACACACAATGGAACAACAACACCTGCAGGGTTATAAATGCCAGAGTAACATTTTCTGTATTTTAATTGAAAAGTTAATTTTACCACCTCCTGATACAGGGTGCATTCACAAAATTCAATTTACAAGTGTACAGTGTGGCAGTGCATTATCCTGCCACGGTGAAAATGAAGGTTATAACCCAGATTTCTCAACCATACAGGTTGAGGGTCTCCAGGCAGTTCTCTTAATGCAGAAGAAACTGGGATGTCAGTTTCCTCTTTGGTTTGTAAAGCCTGTTTTGGGACCTGTGGCCTGGAGATTTCTAAATGATCTGGGAGGGATGAAATCTCCAATTCTGGGTCCATGTTTTGAATGCAGCCAGCACACTGATTGCACAGGTGTGTGCAGGCTTTTTGTAGAGAGGCCTAACCAGGGTTCTGGGCTCCACCCCGGCAGACAGGAGATCATTGCCAGGAGTCCTCCACCTAGGAGAGGTTGAAGCCAGAGCAGCAAGTGGCTGATAGCTGTGTGCAAGTGGCTGATAGCTGTGTGCAAGAAGCCAATCTGATGACATCCAGGTGTGAAAGCGTCCCTCAGTAACCAGAGATTGCTGCCAGGAATGCTGATGAGATTGCTGCCAGGAAGGCTGATGAGAGCAGAGGAACTAAGCAACATATACGGCAAGACCGCATGCTTGTTGGAGAGACATTTGTTCTGTTCAGAGTCACCAGCGGATGCAAAGCAGACCCGGGTCGGTAAGATCGTGCACGCACCTCATTTCAGTGTTGGCGCCTAGAGACTGAGTCCAGGCCTATAGCTAGTTAGTTAGGGTCTCTGTTTCTGTCAGGCCACAAGTGGTGTTACTGATTATTGGAAGGACTCCACAACTTAAAGTGACATTTCACATTGGAGAGCTGATAAAATCCTACAAACTCAAGCCAGACTGGCGTTTTGCTCAGAAAGAATACTCAGGCACGTGCTACAGGACCAGTTATGGGAGAGGGAATACTGTAGATTTGTGTAAGATTGTAAGCTGTTGTGCTGCACCACAGGCTAGCCCATACCATACACCCATACACTGATTCCTACTCTTTTAGGGTAATAACAGGTAAGGTGTGGCAGCTTAGTTGTGCCCGCCAGTAGGTAAATTACTTCACTTTCTACCTTCATCCATCAGAAGGCGCCGTGCTGTGCAGCACAAGGGTCTCAGCCTTTGGGCTGGGTGTATGTACATTTATTGTATGTTCTCAGCATTTGTGGTTGTGTTTATTTGCCACTTCTAAGTAATATTCTGTTGTGGAAAAAGCTGGTGTTGGGGTTGCTTTCCTTGTTCGTGACTTCACTGTATCCTGGGGAGCCCACCCCGGTACACGGGCCTACACACCCTCAGAAAAAGAGAATAGGCCCAGGAACCCCAAGAGGAAAGGGTTTAATGTAAGAAATGGCACAACCCTGTTGAGATTCAGGGTAGTGTGGGCCTGGAAACATACCCAGAAAAAGAATTGAGCCTACGTGGCTAACAGCTGGCACAGAGGTGTCCCAACCAATGTGATGGGTTCATGTGTTCTGCCCCCTACGGGGTCAAAACAAAAGGGGGGGGATATGTGGCAGTGCGGTTGAGGGTCTCCAGGCAGTTCTCTCAATGCAGAGGAAACTGGGTGGTCAGTTTCCTCTTTGGTTTGTAAAGCCCGTTTTGGGACCTGTGACCTAGAGTAGGGGCAGACTGACCATTTGAGCACTCGGGCACTGTCCGAGGGCCTGGGGTCAGTAGGGGTCCCAAGAAATGCCACTGGTACTTTTTTTTTTGTGTGGTTTGAGTGTGAGCAAGGACACAGGGGCCCCATGATCCCCTATTGCCCAGGGGCCCCATGAGTTGTCAGTTTGCCCCTGGCCTGGAGATTTTTAAGTGATCTGGGAGGGATGGGTCTATGTTTTGAAAGCAGCAGCACACTGATTGCACAGGTGTGTTCAGGCTTTTTGTAGAGAGGCCTAACCAGGGTTCTGGGCTCCACCCCGGCAGACAGGAGGTCATTGCCAGGAGGGCTCCACCTAGGAGAGGTGGAAGCCAGAGCAGCAAGGAGCTGCGAGCTGTGTGCAAGTGGCTGATAACTGTGTGCAAAAAGCCATATTTTGGAAGGAGGCTGTGTGCATCCAAGGAGTCCAACGCTGTGTGCTGGACTAGCCAATGGTCTGGGAGACCCACATAAATAGAGGTACTGCTAACCAGCAGGGCTGAGGAAGAGTGCCAGGAGGCTGAATTTTGTTCTGTTTGTTTTTATGGAGGATACCCCTGTATGGGAAGCATTTTGTGGAACTTTCTTTTAAATAAAATTGGGCTAAAAGGCCTTTTAAAAGGGATAAAGCAAGTGGCTGTGTGCTGAAAAAAACTCTAACATTTGATGCTAGTTCTCATAACAGGATTAATTGTGCTACAAGAGAGAGGTTGATGAGTGCCATTCACCGGTGAGTTATTTGACTGTGAAACAAACCTGAATAGCAGGGAGATCAGATTAAATGCACACGTAAAGCTATTGCCTAAAGCTAGCCAAACATGGATTGAAATTTATCCACTTCCAATGTCAATCCATGTGTAGCTCTCTGTGTTTAACAGAAGCTGGTTCTTAGACTGGCTTCTGTCAAACGGTCCTTCTGTAAAACTAGCATTCGATCAGCACATGCAGGCAATAGGCTGCAGCGCTGATCAGTGTATCCTGATAGCAGGGGTGTCCCGCTGTCAGAATTTAAAGACAAAAAGGAGAGGATTTCCCCATCCACCTCAAATGTGTGGCTGGGGAAATCAGTCCAGTATTTGCATTCAGCCAGCTGAGCCATGTATAGCGAGCTTTAAGCAGTCCATAGATTACTTTATTTTCTTTCCTTCCACCCAAGGTGGAAAGAGAGAAAATACCTTCTGCAGTGCTATTGTGTTCTGCTGGCAGGGGGCCCCGGAAAGACTTCCTGGCTGGCAGGGCACAATGATTGATAGCAGCTACATCCGCAGCCAGTATTCAATTGTAAAAAAAATGTAACAGGCTGGTTGTACCCAATTCGTTCGATTGATTACATTGGGTACAGTCAGCCTGCCCATACATGAATCGAATCTTGGCCGGTTCAGTGGGTCCATGTATGGCCGGCTTTAATCTTTAGAAGACTACTACTATTGCATGGAGAGTCAAGGACTATAGATACTCCCAGTGACTGCTAGCACTCAACCATGTATCTTACCTGTGATATCAATGTGTCACATGCTCCAGCAAGCCCCGCCCCCACTGCCACACCAGTAATATTTACCACCTGTAAAGAACAAAAAAATAAAATGTATAGCAATACTCTAAAATAGAGTAACAGTCCTTTTTTAATACCTTACACATAATAATGGACAATTTTTCAATAGTTTGCCTACAGTATATAGCCTTTTTAAATAATATGATGCAGATTCATTCTAATTTTATCAGAACATACCGCAATGGCCAGTGACACGGCGTCTAGCTCCACCTTCCCCAGGTGTCCACAGAATATGGAGCTCACAATGCTTATCATGAAGATCATGAGCTGAGACAGGAACTGCAGATAGGATAAAATCAGAAATAATTCATATATCACCTTGTATAAAACCATAAAGTGTCCATATAGTAAACATGGTTGAAAAATGTTCATTTTTCAGGTCATCACAAAGAGAAGGGGAAATTCTTTGTGCATAGAGGTAAAGAGGTTTTACCTTGGCATCCAGAAAGGGTTCTTTAGGGCCCCTTCATACCATTCTGGTCAATTGTGCAGCAGTACCACAGGTGTGTTTAACATACAGTATTTAATGCGTTAATGCACACTGTGTTAAACAACTGCGTTCATTTTAAATAGGCTGCCAACACTCAAAAAATTGCATCATTTTTAACATGGCACACCACAAGGCATGATTTGCAACATGAGTAGAAAAAGCACAAATCAAAGTATTGAAGCTAAAGGATCTACATAACAGCTGGGTAACTGGAATTTGCAAAATGATATGTCAGAATTGGCAGCCTCCATGTGTCTGTCAGGAAAAAAAGAGAGGTATTCACATATTATCCCAAGCAAATATACATATACATATAAAGAATGGTGCAAAACAATGACCCTAGCATTAACTGCAAATCAGAGAAGCTAAAGAAAGTCCACAAAGTATATTAACAAATCTCTAAATACAATGAAAAGAGATTGAGAAAAGAGCTAGATGGCCCTGAAATGCATGGTCAAACCCCCCTGCCCTCCCACAGCATGCAATGTCACTCCAGGCTTCCCACAGTGTCAGCTGGGTTCTTGCCACTTGGATTGGCAGTGTGGCTAAACACCCATGTGAAAGTAGGCTTAGGCTTTTTGCCATTACTTCTCTTTTTGTATTGTCATTTGAAAATACCAAATGCAATCATTTAAAGCTGAACTTTGGGAATGAGATAAAATGTAGCAATCCTACCATCCACACTGCAGGGGTGTTTATAAAACAAAGAAATCCCTATGAGTAAGTTGGATGTGACGAAACGCGTCAGGCCGAGGCGTGTGGTGACCAGAAGTGATTTGACTGGAACCGGAAGTGACGTGGAAGCATCAGTGACTGGGAATCCGGTGGTGGTTAGAGCACTGTCTCGGTTCTCATCAGTGTGCATACTAAGTGCAACATTTTGGGGCTTTTTACTTATATTTATTCTGTAAGTGGCTGTCTATTTCAGCAATAAAGGAGCTGTTTTTTTGTATTGCACCATTGTGGCTTTCCTCGCTTTTGTTTTACATGATCATTATACCAAAGTGCAGAGTATTCAGGAGAAGTTATTCCTCTATGCTACCCTAAGTGCCTCCATATAATTCATTATTATATGAAATTATTTCCAGCTATTTTGGGGAAAGGCGATTGGAGGAGAGGAAGCAGATCGATACTAATTGATTCTTTATCCCACCGAGAGATATCCATTGAGCGTTTTTTGCCAAACATGAGAGTGGGGAGTAACACCATTTAGTGAGTATATACCCGAAAGGGGGACACCGTTTTTTTTTTCACACGTGGTGATTTTGAAGAAATTGCAGACTTATTTGGTGGATAAGAATTGTCTTTGGACTTTCTTTTTCACTTATGTTGTTTATGTCCACATTTTATTCACTTTCTAATTTTGCACTACTGAATCACTTTGAGTGTTCATTTATGTGTTTTTTTAAATGACTGTTTAGTCTAGGGGTGCAGGGATAAGCTGCACTATGTTTTACTTATTTAATTCCTGACTCTGATAAGCTCCAGCGCTGTCCTCAGGCTCAGTTCTCTGGGAGGGCGGGGGGTCCCTTGACATCATTACACACAGAGCAAGGCTATTAACCCTGCACTGAATGAATCCTTGGGAGAGGATGCTGCAGGGGATTGGTCGCATGGATTGGGAGATCCTGCCAGAGCCAGGGTTGAGATAAGTGATACACCTCATCCCTGCACCCCTAGACTAACAAGCAATTAACCTTTGCAGTGTGTAGGGGGGGGGGGGGTCTCATTTCCAGAGTTCAAAGGATCCATGACAAATGTAGAGCCATGTATCACGTCAGGCAGTTAAATGGTACAATTACTTATAAAGATCTACACAACAGACCAAAAATGTTTTTCTTTTTTTACAAGTACATAAACAGTACTTTTTGTACATCAACAAACCACATAAAATAATCAACATTCAAATACTGAATACTTGGCAAACACCCCCCCCCCCCCCCCCCAAAAAAAAAAAAAAAAAACAGTAATGCACTAATACACAAGGATCAGGATCTAATAATTCCTAAATAACAAAGTAATGAAATCAGGTAAAGTGCAATAATGTAACCTATAGTATCTGCAGGCAAAAAAAATGAGACAGTCAAAGTAAAGGACCTACTCTGTCCCATACACTGAGCGTTGTACTTCTAAGTTACTCTTATATCCCCCATCACCTCACATAAGAGTGGGAGAAACAGAGACCTAACAATGCCAAACATTATCAGACTTCCTAGAACAGGCCCTACTCAATTAGTTCACTTTTATACAGAGGCAACATCCTATTAATCAGGGTTTTCCCAAATGATATTGAGGGAGCTTACATTTTTTCCAATGGAGCAAGCTGGTCTTGCGGGCACAAAAGAGGGTTACTAATAGGAAAGTGCATTGTGCTTGTAAGGGTGCCAAATCCTCCACTAATATCCAAGAAGACAAACTGAGATGGTCTGCAGGATTTGCAATGTTGAGATGTCCTGTATTAATGGACAGAGCTAAAATATATGATCAAAATCTGCCGGTGAAGATATACTGTGTGAGGTATAGTATGTTGAATTCTAAAAAGAGATAAGGTGTAAACCAAAGTTAGCAGAAAGAAGTGGTGGTATTTTATTTGTTTTAAAAAGGATTTAAAGGTGGGAGCAGCCTGCTGGTCGACACCAAATTGCAAATGAAAGAAGTGTGGTTTTTTTTTTATATGGTTTTTCTATTTTTGTTTACACGGTCGACACCAAATTGGAGAAGTGTGGTTTTTTTTTTTGCTTTTTTTTTTTACACAGCATTGGAGCTCTAGCAGCTGCTCTAGCTCTGAGGTTGGAAAGGTGGAACTTCAATTTCAACTCTTCAAATGTAAGAAGTCTACCTTCTCCTAGTATGTCTTTGAGTAGTTTAATCCTCCTCCTAGTCCAGACCACAGGGTCAGGTATGATGTTAAGGTGTGGGAGAGGAGAGTTAAACCATAGCAGAGAAGAAGGGGAATACCCCACCCCTTCGGATTGCATTAGGAATTGCACCTTATCCCAGGCTCTTAGAGTCACTTTCATGGAGCCTGTTATGGGAGCATGCACCTGAGGACCTCAGCTTCCTCAGACTTTCAGAAGCCAATGGCATGCAAAAACAAATTTGACTTGCTAAAAAATTACTTATATAGCTCAGGAAGTGCTAGACCACGCTGACCCAATGGCTCCAGAAGTGTTTGGAGCCCTATTCTGGGATGTGAGGTGGCCATAAAAATGTACTAAACAGACCCTCAATTTTTCTGAAAGTATGATTGGGGAATCCAAACTGGGGCATTACATAGGCAATAAAGAGACTAGCAAAATTTTCATTTTAAGCAGATTGACCTCCTGCCAATCAGTGATAAATGCTTCCAAGCCTCTGTTAGGAATGGACTGGCCAGCAATGGTGGGACTCACCTGCCTTTTGATCTGCAGTACCAGGGCTGGCCAGCGGGTGTTCCCAGCAATCAGAGACTCAACTTTGCAGCCAGCTAACACCTGTAACTGATGATGCTGGGGTATTTAAGGGGATGGCCAGACCCACAGACTCTGCCTTGGTGTTGTGTTTGTCCTGGGCCCTGTATCTGTCCTGCATCCTGTTTCTGTTCCTTTGCTGACTTCTCCTTCTCCTGCTCTGATCCTGGCTTGTGACCCTGACCATCCCTCTGTCTGACCCTCTGTACTATGCTGCTTGCTACCTGCTGAACCTGGCCTGTGACCCCGACCATTCTCCGCTTGCTCCCCCTGTACCTACCTGCCCAATTGATATTGACCCGGCCTGCCTGACGACGCTTGCTTGTATATACTGTTATCTGTGGGTGGTTTGGTTGCACTGTATTATGTTTAGTATTGCACTGCGTTTATTGTTTGTACTGTTAGTGTTAATAAATTATATTGTTTATAACATATCTGAGGTCTGCGTTTCCCTGCTTCAGTCACACACACCTCTGGTCATACCTGGGAGCCCTGACATTACACCAAGGCCAATCCTGACCAGAAGTGGCTGCACAGGGAAGCCATCTTGGCTTGTTGATGGGAAGGATGGATCTTGATGAGGTTGAGTATTTATATCTGCTAGTGTTTGATGACAGGGAGTATGCTCATCAAACTCTGAAGGAGTATCCCCGGGATGAATTGCTAGAATGTATACGGCTCGCTCATGTTCTAGTAGATCAGGGCACAGTGTTCTCTGAGGTGCAGCCATTGATTGAGGTTTGTGCAGAGTTGGTTTCATCTGGTTCCCCCGAATGCAGGGATGAATTTTTGCCACCATTTAGTGCAGACCAGGTAGAGTCCCTGGTGTGGTTATTAGAGGATGATGTGGGTTACTTTCTGGAGCGTTATTCCACATGTTCACCACAGACACTGAGAGATTGTATAAACGCAGTGCAGTCATTGACCAGACAGACTTTGTGTAAGCTCAGCTTTTTGTTCAACCCCTACTGCAGACATGGACAGATTTGTTGCACCCAGCCTCAGTCAGCTTACAAAGACCCAGTCCTGCTTCTAACTCTACTCCTGTATTCCCACCAGCTCCTCCAGTTACAGCCCAGTATACTTGGCTATCTACCGCATGTCAGTACCCTGTTCCACTCGCTGCACCTATCCTGCCTTTAACCCTGTAAAAAAGCCCTCTGTAGCAACTGCTCCCTCTCCTGTTCCATCCTCCAGTTCTTCTCTGTCTCCAGCTGCTCCATTCGTTTGCAGACCTGCGTTTACTTGCAGTGCTCCAGTAGTTAAAACCAGAAAAAAGCGAAAATTCTTTCCAACCAATACCATCCTGCCAGTATCCAAACCGGTGAGCCTGCCTTCCG